GTTTAATACATTTTATCTTTTGCAAAGCTTTTCAAAACATGAAGGCTGACAGCAACACCTCATTTTAATATTTCAATTACGTTGCAAATTTATACTGTCAATAGTAGTGTACATCCAGACAGCAGGAAATACAGTCTCCATCACTACAGGCAAAAAACGAGTGAACAGTGGACAGAAACAAGACTTGTAAACTACAATCGGTCTTCTTTATTAAAGCCATAAAACTGAAGACAACAAACACAATATTAAATTTTATTCAGAGACTGCAAGAAGATATAAATAATTCTGCCACATACCTGCACTTTCTGTTTTCTAACATGCTGGTTACTTGGATCTACGCTGGGTTTCTGGAACAATTAAGTTAAAGAAAGCGAAAACTATAATATTCCTAAATCGAGTCTTTTATCACTATTTACCAATGTTGTGAGCAGAATGGAAAGGAAACTCACATTTTGCAAAAGCAAGTAGTTTTGGAATAAAAAAAGAAGAAAAAAAGAAAAACAAGTAGAGAGTTCGGGCTCATGGGGACTTAACTCAGCACGTTGCGTTTCGTGATAAACAGCTGTGAATTAAGAACCCCGGAGCGGTAACTGTATGTGGATAGAACATAGATTACTATTTCATCAAAGAAGCTGAAAAGTTTACTCAAATTTGCCACTCTCAACGTTTCAAGGTTGGGTGAAACACTTAACAACTACAACACAAAACAGCATCAATAAACAATTTTCAACGACCCTTGAGACGCACGACCGTAACGACCTACATGGTCGCTGTTCGCGAACTGGCAAAATCAGCAAACAACTAGCTTAGATCTATTATCTTTTTGGTACGAACTTGAAAATATTTCCAAAAAAAAGAAAACAGACTTTTATCGCCCACCTCAAAAGAAATCGCGAAGGATGTAGTCCATGGTTTTTGCTTCGCAATATCAGAATACCACTCTCCTTCTTGTAAAACATGGTCGCGCAGTAGAATGTCTTTGATAGCAGTGTTTGCAGTTACACGGGAAGGACCGTATAAATCTTTGTTTAAAGTTCTCGGAAACATCATCCGCAACCAAATTGATTTACAAATAACTAGCTTTTGAACGCTCTGAAAATATTTGCTTTCACGGGACACAAAACAAACAGCACTTGCTGTGCGAATGTAACAAATTAGCTGAGGCGTTGCTACGCAACAGGAATTATGGGCTCACGAGCAAGTTTGACGGGAGGCGGGGGAGAGGAGGGGGGCAGCGGTGTCGGGGGGCGGGGGGTAGAAGGGTAGAGCCGAACATAGCAATTTTTCCAAAAAATGATATGCGAGAGAAATGCTCATCGCGTTAGTAATCATATTTCATGAATGAACTTTATGACTTTAATGAAATATAAAATATGAGAAAAGTAATTGATTATCCATTTCCACCAAAAAAGGCTATTAATCTATGTATCAAATCAGGTTCTGAAGAAATGATTATATGGGCCTTTCCCCATAACAAAAAATAAGAATTGCTGTTTTATCATCCTGTATAAATGGTAAGGATGACAATAGGCTGCTAGCAGTTACTCCCTCTTATTGCACAGGTGAGCATGCTACGATGTGTGTGTGAGTGAGGAAAACACTCAAGACTAGGATGGCAGCTTTCCAAGCTATGACAGGATTCTTTTTCTAGCACCTCAATTTTCCCTATTTACCTGTAATACAATAATCCATGGCTCATTTGAGTGAGTACAAAGGTTATCCCCCAGTAAAAGAACCCATCATAGCTTTGGGATGCAACTTGGTCCACTGTTCAGACTTGTTCAGAAAAAGTCAAGATCACCGTACTTGTTATTGCAGCAGCGCTACAGATTTCGAGGGAGGACTTGGGCAAGATTTAAAATGATATGTGCATGGAGGGACCATGGAAGGTGCAACACAGCATTGAAAAATAAAATTCCAGACTTGCCAAGTCTAACAACTTTGTTGTTAGTCTCACAATTTCAGTCCCACCTCCTGCTCTCACGAGTTGGCAACTGATTTCTCATGCTTTCTCAAAAAGTTGAATTCCAAAAAAAATTTTGATAAACTAAATTGAGGTTCAGCAATAGCTGAACATGCAATCTCAAAGTCCTTCATCAGTAAGTCAAACTCAAAAACATGCCTACCACAGGGCTGTCAACTCTCCCGGATAATCCGGGAGACTCCAGATTTTGGACCGTATCTCCCAGACTCCAGATTAGAGTCTGACAGCCCTGCCACCAGTCACATTCTTTAACACTGAACAGTAGAAATACTGCCTCAAAAATTTCATTACACTTTAACGTTTCTCCGCGATCAACCGTATTTTTGAAAGTAATCTTTCCGAAAAAGCTCTTTGATTTGAGCACTGAACAAATACTTGGCCACACTTAAAACTGCTTGACACCGTTCCAACACAGTTGTTACTAAATCTGCTAGTGGGACCTCAACCATTTGTTGAATGATAGTTAAGGTGGCTCGACTGGATTTTTTTAGGGGGATACCTCCCAAGTTTGAGCCTTAACTACGTCGGTATGAGTAACAATATGGAAAAAAGGTTACCACAACTGTATTACATAAAGATGAAAATTTCTTATGATCTGGGTTTTATTGCAATCGGAGTCGCCATGGCAACGTAATGACGCCATTACGTTTTTCATTTATCTTTGTGTTTCTCTGTACCAGGAGTTTTTTGAAGAAATCGCTTAAGGGAGTATGTACCTGCCATAATTGCCTCCATTACGGCAAAGTTTGAAGAAATTCTATGAGAGCGTTTTCGAGATATTTCGAAATGCAGTTTTAAGAATCATAAAAACAGTGAAATAGCATGCTAGCCGCACAATTCGCTGATATTTTAAGAAAATGATAAGCTTTGGGAACGCGGCTTCATCTCATAGTGGATTGATTCCTTTTAAAACTGCATACAAAAAAAGAGGGGAATTGCTCTGGGCGATCGCAAGTAAGAAGAATTTTATTAACTTGCATTCAGCTGCTTTTGATACAGTTTTTGGAGGTAATTTGGTCCATGCCTAAACATTTCGCATTTTTCCAAAAACCGCTCGATAAATTTTTTTATAAATTCGACAATCCCGAGATCAATCATCAAGAAATATTCCCTGCGAGTTTTAAGAACATTGAAAACAGGGAAGGCTTTTAAATAGGGCCTTAAATGTAACCAATTTCCCCCCCAGATTCTGTGTTTACAAGTGAGCGTCCTCATTATTCACTGGCATTGTTTTCAAGTTTCATATACACGTGCACATTTAGCAAAAAGATAGAATTTACATCAAAAAGGACCCTTGGTTAAATCTCCGGGATATGCTTATTACCGGGCAAAGAGGTTAGTGATACATTATAACATCAGAGCAACTCTTTGTGAGAGTTTCTGTGATGTTATAACCCGAGTAAGATAATGAAGTATTGTTTCCTACACGATGAGCCGTGACGTTCACCGTTTTGGCTCTCACTGCTATCTGTGACGACAAGCCAATTATTAGCATATACCGGATATTTCTTCGGAAAGTAACCGAGAGTTCTTTTTGATGCAAATTTATATCTTTGGCTAGTTGTGCACGTGCACATGAAACTTGAAAACAATGCCAGTGAATAATGAGGACGCTCACTTGTAAACACAAAATCTGGGGGGAAAATTGGTTATGTTTGAGTCCCTATTTAAAAGCCTTCCCTGTTTTCAATGTACTTGAAACTTGCAGGGAATATTTCTTGACGATTGATCTCAGGATTGTCGAATTTATAAAAAAAATTATAGAGCGGTTTTTGGAAAAATGAGAAATTTTTAGGCATAGACCAAATTACCTCCAAAAACTGTATCAAAAGCAGCTGAATGCAAGTTGATAAAATCCTTCTTACTAGCGATCGCCCAGAGCAATTCCCCTCTTTTTTTGTATGCAGTTTGCAATGGAATCAAACCACTATGAGATGAAGCCGCGTTCCCAAAGCTTATCATTTTCTTAAAATATTAGCGAATTGAGCGGCTAGCATGCTATTTCACTGCTTTGATGATTCTTAAAACTGAATTTCGAAATATCTCGAAAACGCTCTCATAGAATTTCTTCAAACTTTGCCATAATGGAGGCAATTATGGCAGGTACATACTCCCTTAAGCGATTTCTTCAAAAAACTCCTGGTACAGAGAAACACAAAGATAAATGAAAAACGTAATGGCGTCATTACGTTGCCATGGCGACTCCGATTGCAATAAAACCCAGATCATAAGAAATTTTCATCTTTATATAATACAGTTGTGGTAACCTTTTTTCCATATCTTTACTCATACCGACGTAGTTAATGCTCAAACTTGGGAGGTATCAACCCCAAAAAATCCAGTCGAGTCACCTTAAGTACTTACAGCACTTCAAGACTATTAATAAGAAATAACGAGATTCAAAAAGCGTATAAAGCCTAATTAAACTTTAAATATAAGCTTTTAAAAACAAGTGAAAATATCGACCCTTTCTTCTGAAAATTAATAGGTGAGACACTATATATAAGCGGGTGCAGACGTGGAAAAATGCTTATAAACGTAACTTACCCAAGATGACAATAAAGTATGCTACCATAATTTTCCTTTTTCCTCGACAAAGTTGTTCAAGTCCTGATTCCGTGACTTTTTTGCATGGAACTAAATATAGAACTATTGAATGTTTAATCGGTGTTTAGCAAGTAACTTGCACGTTTCTAAAGAAACGAACTCAAGCGTATCCACACGTCAAGGTAAATACTGTATAAAAAACAGATAATTGAAAGGTTACTGAGAATTACACCGAGACACAGACACTACCGACTTTCGTCTTCCTTTACCTGGGATATCTGTCTTTGTCTTGGAAAGAAAACCATCTGTTCGGAAACAGTATTTTTGCATGCTCCACATGGACAGCCGCTGACTAAACATGAGCCTGAAATCGACAAGGTTTCATTTAGAGAAATGCTTGTTTCGATTGAGTTTTTCATGTTTTTACCAGCTGTTCTCTTGATTTGAGAATAAGTGTGATTGAAAGACGATGGTGAATGAATCAGAACTTAATTCAGGAACTCCAGAGGTCGTGCATTCGAATCAGCTGCTCAAAGGTTTGAATCAACTTCGACAGAGACGGGAGCTTTGTGATGTTGAATTGTGCGCCGGAGAAGAAAGAGTTTCGGCCCATCGTGTTGTCCTATCGGCTTGTAGTCCCTATTTTAATGCCATGTTTACAGGAAATCTCCTTGAGAGCCAGAAACAGGTCATACATTTGAGAGAAGTAGACGAAAATGCGCTTCATACCCTTGTGGATTTTGCATACACTGGAAAAGCTAGAGTTACACAAGAAAACGTCCAACTTTTACTTCCAGCAGCTAACATGCTTCAGTTGAGCAGAGTTAAGGAAATCTGCTGTCATTTTCTTAGTCAACAGCTACATTCTAGTAACTGTTTAGGAATCAGCAAGTTCGCTGAAGCATACTCTTGCCACAGCTTGCAGAAGAAATCGAGAAAATTCATTCAAGACCATTTTCAAGAGGTCGTAAAACATGAAGAATTTTTGCTTCTACCAGTAGGCCAGCTAACAGAACTTCTTAAAGACGATAATTTGAACGTTGTCTCTGAACAAGTTGTGTTTGAAGCATTGCTCTTGTGGATTAAACACAAGCTCCCAGAACGAATTTCTCTTCTTGGTAAACTTCTGAAATATGTTCGTCTGCCTCTACTGACTCTTCGTTTCCTGACGTCAAACTACGAGACAAATGAACTAATTCGCGCGGACAGAACGAGCCAAATTGTACTGAACGAAGCCTTAAAATACAGACTTGTTCAAGCCAAAGGGGTTCCCTGTGAGAAAGCAATGAAACCTCGACGTGCTCCTAGGAGGATTTTTGCGCTTGGAGGAAAAAATGGCCTGTTTGCGACTTTGAGCAGCGTTGAGTATTACGAGCCAGAAAGAGATCGCTGGACTGAAGTTTCGAGCATGAAACTTCGACGATTCGAGTTTGGAGCTGCTGTTCTAGATGGTAAATGATAACTTGAGTTTAATAGGCTTCATTTAACTGTTAGCCGTACAGTTATTAGCTTTGTAATGTCAACTATTTGTTTCATTTTGTTTTTCAACAACCTAGCTTCCTTTTCGCTTGCCAAAATCTTGAAAATCAATGATTTTGTGATTTTGATTGCATTCAAGCCTTAATCTGTGCCAGGATTTTCTCTGTTCTGCTTAGGATTCCAATATTCGTAGATGAATTTATCAAGTAAACATTCACGCTCGAAAATTGAATATTATTTTAAGAAAATGCATTGAAAGATATTCTTAATCCCTACATTTCATGGCAATTACCTGGCATGTTTGGGTTGAGGTTAGAATGGAGAGGACTGGGTGACAATAAAGCCTCAAGTGTCACCTTTTCGCGTATTCAATACATGTATGGCTGTGTTTTAAAAGGACTGGAAACAATTTAATTCAAGAATGTGGGGAATTTGATGGCTAAAGTAAGTATTGGCTGCGGTATAGATTTTCCCATCTAGACCAGCATGTGGACCAAACATAACGTTTGAACTCAAAGGGCACGATCCATTCAACCAAAATTCCGACCTGTCCAACCGGGAAAAATGGTCCACCTCAAAAGGTAGACCTGTTTTTTAAAACTTTTGCGGTTGGACTGAACTGATCCATTGAGTGTTGGACCGAATTTCTGGAAATTTTGGTTGAATGGATCGTGCCCAAAAAGTTAGAAAAACAAAAGTGGAAACCAAAAAAATTGCCTTATTATAAATAAAAAGAACAGTGGTTCCAGACNTGCTATTTTTATCGTCAAGTGTAATGATTCTGTTAGCTTTTCTTTCTTATTTCCTTGTTTTTTTCTTCGTTAAGGACCAAATAGCCTCTTTTCAATTAAAGCAAATCATTGTGTTTTTGAACTAAGTGTTCCGTGCGTGTGTTTATTTCATTGCGTGATTGCGACCGAGTTTGATTCAGATTATAGAATTCAGTACAACCGGTTCAGAGTTGTACTGCATGCAGTTGATAGTTTGAACGTTAAACATGAATTACGATCGAAAAAAATAAAGCAATTCTGTATCATGCAGACATTTCCAAACGATATTTCTCGGTTTGCCACTTGAAAATCGTGTTTTATTTTTTGCATGAATTAAAGCAAAGGTCAAGGAGTAGTGACGTCACTGGACGGCATTAACAGCCGGTCGATTCAGACGTTACTGAGGGAGTAATAACGACTCGAAGTAATCGGATGAAATTCAGGCTAGCAAGCAGGCTCACTCTTGCAAGTTCAGCCCATTCTCCTTGTAGAATGGTGGCTCCACAGCCAAAAATTTTTCCTAACTTGCACAAGTGAGACTGCTTGCAGGCTTGAATCCAAAAACACTCAATACAAGAGTCACCAAGTGCATGGAAAAAAATTGTGAGGGACTAAAAAAGTCTAGAGCAGTGGGAAATATACCTACTACTGAGCTTGATCCTCTTTTTCCAAATTTTTAATTTTTCATTGCCACTTGTCCGTTACAATAAACTTCTTATTAGGCAACCCATGAACCAATTTAGCTGAAATTTGGCCAACTTACTGTCAAATAGTTTTTCTAAAAAACTGTTCTGTGAATTTTCATTTCTGTTTTCGTTTTCGAGTTAGAGCATTTTCTCACAGGTAGTGCTAATGATTTGCTATCTCTAACTTCAACTGCCTATAACAAAAGAACAAACGCCCTTGACAAAAATCTGAGGCAGTTTTTTAGTCAAACTTGTTAAGAAGCGAATGCAACCTTAATTGGCTTCTTCTGTTCATTTTTGGTGGGCCTGGACTTAAATGTACAGTGATACTCACTTTCACAAAAAGCTTCTCATTTCTGAATTGCATTAATATTTTGATTTTTTGAAAGGAATGAGCAATAATCTGGAACTATTGAGCTTTCAGAAAATTTATGGTTCATGGGGGTATTTATTAAAAGGAAAAGCGCTAGTGCTGATCAACGTGAGAAGGGTGCTTGAGGGTGGATGATACCTTAACCAAACTAGGTTGGTCTGTTTGTGAGAATCTTGACCTCTGTCGCTGGTTTAGACCTCACTGCATCCAGTGTGTACTGGGGGCCTCAGTCAAGATTCTCCCTTAACTTAGCTTGGTAGTCGAATGCTGTAGGTTATTTGAGGCTTTCTCTCCCTCACATTTTCCTAAAAAATAGACAGCTCAGACCTCAAATTGGCTGGTTTTTTAGCCAGTTGCCAGCACTAAAAATTATAAGAACCCTGAATTGTTGAATAATTATTATAATTATTATAATGTTATTATAATTTTAGCATTTTTCATGACCAAAATGGAAATTAATCTCTTTTACTGCTCTTTGAAAAGATGATTAGTTTATTCAAACACCTTCAGGTTTTCAACTCAGATATCACTGATTGGAGGTACCATTGTAAGAACCAATTCAAAATCCTTTTAACTTTTGTTTGATTTTAGTTCCTGTGTTGCAGATTAATCCCTATGATATGGTGAATTCCCCTTGACATATACCGCTAGTGATATGACTATGCTTTCCTTCACATACATGTATGGCAGCCAGTGTTTGTTGTTCCCATCCCCACTACCCCTTGAAATTCTTCTAGTTATTATTTAAGTTTCTTTTTTGCCAGATTTGACCTAAGCCACTACCAAAAAGATTTGAGCATCAACCATTCAAGACACCATAATTTCTCAATCTTTCACTGTTAATATTTGAGTGCTTTTAAATGCTTTGATGTGATATCATTGCTTTAATTGATTAATTTCAATTTCTTTTTCTTTTTTCTTACTTAATATTAAGACATGAAATGCCTAGATTAAAGTTAAGGCAAGGTGTGGGCTCATTTACATCTATTTTGTAACAATTTGTTTTCATTTGACAATTATTATGTAGTTTATTATGCAGATCATTGATCTTGAGTGGAGAAAAGTCTTTGAGTGGAAATCAAAGGTAACAAAGTAATAAAATATTACAAATAACTTTTTAATTTGTAGGTAAGCTCTATGCAGTTGGTGGTCTTGTTTGTGGTGTTGGAGTTCACAGTGGAGCACCCTTTAGGTATTGTGATAATGGCTGTGAAAGCTTTGACCCTGAGACTGGTCATTGGAGCAGAGTACTTCCTATGAATCAGTGCCGCAGTAACCACTCAGTGCAACCCTTAGGTAAGAAAGTCATCTTAAATGAATTTTCAGTTGTTGATAATACAAAAAGTTTGCTCTTTAGAGCAAAAGTAGAATGTTTTTCACAAGGTTTTTTCAAGGGATGGAATTTGCCCAGTGACATCAATCAGCAAATTTCCTAGTACAGGGTAGGGTGTTTGAGACCACAGACTCTGTTGTGAGCTTATGGATGATAACAATGTAGATATAAAAATGCACAAAGGGTTGTAATGAAAAATATTTAAAAATTAATAAAATGCATGGTGAAAAAAAGAAATTTTTATAATGTGGGCAATTCATTTTTCTGGCAAACTTTTTTTTTTATTGCAAATGTTTATAGTTTTATGTGCTTTCACTTTGTTACGCTTATTACATCATCATTTGAAATTTCTCTCCAGGCTATAAAATAATTTGTCAAATCAACTTTATTTATACCCACAGTTAATCCTTCAGGAATTACAAAATACTATATATAGATATAATAATCTGATGATCGCTTAGTGCGTGAAAGTCTGTGTTACAACTCTATTAACTTCCATCTTTTACATTTTTATTATTTTGTATTTTTAAACAAATTAATTCCTAGGTTATAACAAAAATAAGTTATTATGGTGGAACCCCTCCTTGCAGCCACCTTGGTAATCATCTCATTATTACTGCCACTGTTTTTTTTGCCTGGGAAAACGGCAACATTTCCTCATAAAAAACTCGCGTGGTCACCAGTTAAATATGGCCAACAGTCACAATTTAAAACCCCAAACAATAGAATCTCTTAGAATTTCGCACCGTGAATACGGCCATTTGTTCGAAATTTAGAAAATTAAAGTGCCTTTGACATGTCAGTTTTATTGACCTAGTAATCTGAACTTGTTCTTGTACTGTTTTTGGACTACAGTACCCTTCAAATGCACTTGTGGCGATTTTATAGGCGAAGCTTAAAAGTGTTTTATCTACTGACGGAAAATTTTAAGTAGTTTTTTCAATTATTATTACTTTATGCGATATCTACATTTCAGTTGTCTATTAATGAGAACAGTAATGTTCAAGAAATATGAATTCTGGCAATTTATGTTGTATTTTTTATTATGGCCCTCATGTCATGAAATTTGAGCCTGCCCAGGTTATACGGCTACCCTATTAATACTGCCATTTTTTTTTACCCATTCTTGACTGTATTAACGTGGTTCCACTGTTTTGTATAATACTTCAGTCTGTGAATTTTTTTTATACCATTTTCTCTCTGAAGGTGGATTTTTGTATTCTCTGGGTGGTTATGATGGTAATACGTACCTTAACACAATGGAATGCTACAACAGTTGCACTAAACAGTGGAGTCATGTTGCACCTATGCATTACAGTCGAAGCTGTTTTGCTGCAGCTGTATGTGATGGCTATCTCTATGCTCTTGGAGGCTATGGGCCATCTTATCTTAGAACTGTTGAACGATATGATCCCAGCTCAAATTCCTGGGAAATGATGCCTGCTATGAGCACATACAGGATCAATTTTGGCGTTGGGGTCTTGAATGGTTGTCTTTATGTAGTTGGTGAGAATACTTTTTATTATTTCTTAGCATTTCTCCTCTCCTCCTAATTGGTTTGTAGTAGCTGGGAAAGGGTCGTAAACAGGAAGATTAAAAAGGGCATCCATGCCAACTCTCAAACGAACAGTCCTAAAACTAAAATGTAAAAGAACATTTGGCAGGGTATTAAAACAGGGTTTATATGGTGAACATTAAACAAAAGTACATGTTACGGTCAAACTCAGAAAACCATGAACGGCTGAAACATTTTAGGAAGGTTTATTGTGTAGTGACCAGTCACAATAAAGTTCAGGACACGCCAGCAAACCACAAAACCACAAATTAATTACTGTTGCTGTTTGCGGTTTAGTTTTCTCCCGCTTGATTGGCTTCCTTCTCGCAAAACAATAACATACCATAAATATTTCTGGTGTTCATGGTTTTGTGAGTTTCACAGTAAGTCATTTTCAGTGTTGTCATCCCTGATATCCTGATATTGTTTACCGTTGAATGTATCAAAAAGTTATGCAGCCCAAGCTACATAAAATCAATACACTACTTTTTCGGGGGTCACTGAATTTTTCTAACCACATTCTTGTGCTTTTTTCAAGTTCCAACCTTTTTTTTCTCCTCTTGCCCACCAACCAATGTTTTGGTAGACCGGACTAATAAGCTCTTCATCTTTCTGGTTATTTTCCTTAGGTGGTCACAATGGAGTTTCTCATTTACGAAGTGTGGAGCGGTTTGACCCTGTATCCAGTGAATGGACCATGGTCACACCCATGAGTCGGCCTAGGACAGGACTAAGTGTGGCTGTGTTGAACGGCTTTCTATATTCAGTTGGTGGACATGATGGTTCAGGTTATCTTAGCCTGGTGCAGCGTTATGATCCGCATACAAACTCTTGGCATAGTGTAAAGAGCATGTTATCTAGTCGGTGTAGCTTTGGTATTGCAGCACTGTAATAACTACAGAACGGCTTAACCCTGCACTCCTGGTAACCCTGCACTCTCAAGAGTACAGATGAATGATTATTACTGTTATTCATGTGAATTTAATTAATATTATAATTTTTAAATTACTTTTTACATGACTTTTATTTCCTAAAACATTTACTCCATTCAATTGTCTTAGCTCAGGAGCACCTAGCTTGCCATAAATGTGATACCAGTCACTGTGATACATGTTCCTGTCTGGTTACCTTTTTAAGTCATATAATTCAAGGCTTGGTTCAGTTGACTGAACAGGCAAACTCTTATATGAACCTTCTTCTAAGGCAATCAAATTGCTTCCTTACACGTGATGTTCTTTCAGCATTATGTAAAATTTGTTCTGTTATGGTCAAAGCAAGACAAAAACATAAAAACTCTTACAAATGATCACATCAGAATTCTTGAGTTTTCTTTAAAATATATTCATCCTGTGGTGAAACTACATGCCACAATAATTTTGTATCTATTGATTCATAAAGCGTAAGAAATAAGGCAAAAATAGTGTATTGTTAAAACATTATGAAAATAATAAGGAAAATAATACCGTCTGAATACAAGGTATAAAAAATGAGGTATATTCACACTAAGTAAATACTGGGAAAACATAATTTCTAAGAAAAAATTAGACCCATGACAGCTGTACATTTACATGGGACAATAAAAGTAAACTAAATTTCTCACTGGGTTTTCCATACAAAAAACATAATGTTATTGTTCTAATCTGTATGTTAAAAAATATTTGGCATTTGGCTTAAAATCATTGCAAATAGATTACAAGGGTTTATTGTGAGTGGTATTCCACACAGATTAAAACACCCATTATGTTCTTGTAGCATATTGAAGATAGTTTCAGAGAATATTAAGAGTTTCCATTGATGCAAACACTAGAAATGCACTCAAAGCACCATATAAGTTGATTTGGGACTGGTTTGGAGGTGTTCAGACAAGACTGATGATTAGCGTATTTCATTATTTCACTTTTTCTCTGACATTGCTGAATGACTTGTTAGATAAGATGCCTCAAACTGAATTTACATGCTCAGTTTGCTAAGTACTAGTGCCAAAGTAAGTGTTGATGACAACTTTAGTTTACTGCAAACTGTAAATTATTATACAGTTGAACCTCAAAATGTGAAGTCACAGGAAGTGGTCAGTTACAAAGTCAGACTGTTGAGGTCTTTAC